CCTGCACTGGGCAGAAATCGTTAGTCCCCGGTTTCTCGACGGGTAGGAGAGGGGTGTTCCATGGAGATTGGCATGGAACCAGAATACCAAACTCCCTAAGGCAGTTTATGTGTTTGGTAATTCCTGCCCTGGCTTCAAGAGTCATTGGGTACTGTTTTACTCTTACAGGCTGAGCATTAGTTTTTAAAGTAACCATTATTGGTGGCTGTTGGATGGCCCTCCCTGTGGAATTAGTTTCCACACAAACTCCAGGGATTGCTGCCTGGAGGTCCTTGAAGATAGTGGTTGGTCTCTTTTGAGGGGGTGGGGCGTGCACTCTCCATTCTTCTTCTAGTTGTAAGCATAGGATATAGGCTGCATCCGGTACAGTCACATCAGGAGGTCCTCTCCCAGAGAAATGGATTTGAGCCTTCATTTTATTTAGCAAGTCCCTACCCAATAAGGGATATGGGCACTCTGGGACCACCATAAAGGAGTGTGAAACTGTCTTCTTACCTAAGCTTATTTCCCTTTTGGTAGTCCAAGGGTGCTGAGCAATTCCTGTGGCCCCTTGCACCCTTGTGTTTATTGGTCCATTTTCCCATAGGCTCTTTTAAAACTGAATATTGTGCTCCAGTGTCAACTAGGAAGTTGACGGCTCATCCCTCCACTTGTAGGGTCTACCAGGGCTCATGGTGGAGGTTCGCCAAGCCTGGGCCCCTTCAGTCTTCTAGGTTTGCCAACTAGAGGATCTTGGGCTTGGAGGGAGGCTGGGATCCCGTCCTTTGAGGACATTCCCTAGGCCAGTGGCCCAGCTGTTTACAATATGCACACTGGTCTCTTTTTAGGTGGGGCCAACCTTCCTGTGGGGGTCGCAGGGCTCGGGTCCCTTTTTCGTAGAGGGTCTGTCCCCCCATTTGGGATTCATTGCTCTTTCAGCCAACAATATCCTAGCCAGCTCTTTTGTTTGTCTTTCTTCAAGGGTTTCTCTGTTGTTCCATCTCCAACATGTTGGGGCCTCTACTGAAACTCGGCTGCACCTTCACCAGTGGTCTCTTCTGGACTCTTAGGATGCGAAGTCTTAAATTCTCTCCATGACCCCTTCAATTCTGGGGGTCTTCACTGTAACCCAGACCACACCTTCACCAATGGCCTTTCCCAGCCTCTCACAGTGCCACACCTCACTCAGTTGCTCTCCAGGACCTCATCATACCTTCAAAACTAGTATCATGTAGGAAATTCTTACACATTACCAACTCTTGCTTCTGGCTTGAGATGGAGTCTCAGGCCCCCTTCTGTGTGCTGACCCTCAGGAAATACTTCCCAGAAGATTTCACATCAGTGATGCTGGTCTTTTGTTAATCACAGCTGATCTTCAGTCCCAGCTGACTAGAAACTAGAGTCTCAATTCAAAATATCACACAAACAGCCCTGATAGTCTTTGCTTCCTTTGTAATGTCACAAGCCAGGCCTCCATCGTCCACACTTCTCTTTAGCATAACTGCTCCAGCTCCACAGCAGAAGCTCACTAAGTTGTGAGCATTCAGTAGCTTTTCCAGCCCAAAGTTCCAAACACAAGCCTCCAAAAAACAATACGGTCAGGCCTGTCACAGCAATACCCCACCATCCTGTTATCAACTTCTATTCTAGTTACCTTCTATTGCTATTATAAAAACACTGATCAAGGGGCTGGAGAGATGGCTCAGCACTGACTGCTCTTGCAGAGGACCTGGGTTCAATTCCCAGCACCCACATGGAGGCTAACAACCATCCTTAACTCCAGTACCATGGGAATCCAAAGCCCTCTTCTGACTGCCTTGGCATTGCACAGCACCGGTGCACTCACATACCCCAAGAGAGGCCTGAGGGCAGGAGCGCTGAGCATTAATTTTTAAAGTCACCATTATTGGTGGCTGTTGGATGGCCCCCCTGGGGAATTAGTTTCTGCTCTAACTCCAGGGATTGTTGCCTGAAGGTCCTCGAGGATAGTGGTTGGTCTCTTTTGAGGTGGTGGGGCGTGCACTCTCCATTCTTCTTCTAATTGCAAGCATAGGATATAGGCTGTGTCCAGTACAGTCACAGCAGGTCCTCTCCCAGAGAAATGGATTTGAGTCTTTATTTTATTTAGCAAATCCCTACCCAATAAGGGATATGGGCACTCTGGGACCACCATAAAGGAGTGTGAAACTGTCTTCTTACCTAAGTTTACTTCCCTTTTGGTAGTCCAAGGGTGCTGAGCGATTCCCATGGCCCCTTGCACCCAAGTGCGTTTACTGGTCAATTTTCCCATAGGCTCTTTTAAAACTGAATATTGTGCTCCGGTGTCAACTAGGAAGTTGATGGCTCGTCCCTCCACTTGTAGGGTCACCCAGGGCTCATGATGGAAGCTCGCTGAGCCTGGGCCCCTTCAGTTTTCTAGGTTCACGAACTTGAGGATCTTGGGCTTGGAGGGAGGCTGGGATCCTGTCCTTTGAGGCCATTCCCTAGCCCAGTAGCCCAGCTGTTTACAATATGCACACTGGTCTCTTTTTAGGTGGGGCTGACCTTCCTGTGGGGGTTGCGGGGCGCGAGTTCCCTTTTTCATAGAGGGTCGGTCCCCCCCATTTGGGATTCGTTGCTCTTTCAGCCAACAATATCCTAGCCAGCCCTTTAGTTTGTCTTTCTTCAGGGGTTTCTCTATTGTTAAATACCTTGTTCACCACCGCCATCAGCTCAGAAAGGTTTTTGCCCTCAAAACCTTCCAGCTTTTGAAGTTTTTGCTTTATGCCTGGAGCTGCCTGATTTACAAAAGCCATACTGATGGCTATCTGATTCTCTGGAGCCTCTGGATTTATGGGAGTATAAGTTCTGAAAGCCTCTAACAGGAGCTCCAGGTATACTCCAGGAGACTCATCCCTTCCCTGCATCACCTGACTGACCTTAGACAAATTGGTGGGGTGCTTAGCAGACCCCCATAAGAATCTGGCAATAGACCTTTAGGTGTTCCCTACCTTCGGGGGTGTTATAGCCCCACCCCTCTGTTGGACGCATGAGAGGAAAAGCAGCCATAATCAAAATCCTCATTCTCTGTCAGTTGCCCATCATTTCCAGGGACCGCGTGTCTGCATTCCCAAAGGATGCGGTTCTGTTCCTCAGTGGTGAACAGGATATTTAATAACTGTTGACAATCATCCCAAGTGGGTTGGTGGGTAAAAACAACGGTATCCAGGAGGGAAATTGGGGCCTGAGGCTCCTCCGTGAAGGAGGGAGTCTGTAACTTCCAATTATACAAGCCACTAGTAGAAAAGGGAAAGTAGACTACTGAAGCAATTCCATCCTCCCTCAGGGGCCCAATCTCCCTCAGGGAAGAGCTCACACAATCCTCCCCTCCCCCAGCGAGCGAGTGTGCAATGGGTTGAGCTCAGCCACAGGGGGGGCCAGCTCAGCCATGGGAGCTGGGAATGGAGAGCAGGAAGGACTGGAAAAAGAGGAAGATGCTTATGACCTGTGTACTCTAGGTCTATCCTGGGCACTCATTGGGGCCCGGTAAGGTGGCGGGAGTAAATTCTCCTCTGGTGCTGAGGGGATGACCTCAGGACCCAATGGGTTTTTGGTCTGGACTTTCTTCAGAGGAAGCAAAGTGGCCGACCCCTTAGGCCCCGATGGCGGGGGTGGCAGTAAGGGATGCAGCCAGCCGGGGGGCAGGGGGGCAGCAACCAGATACTGCCACCTAGGATGTAGGGGATCTAGTCAGGGTGCCCTGGTTCCCCAAAGATGACTCCTTGAACCCTGTAGATGAGGGACAGGTTAAAAGACCCTTCAGGCGGCCATTTGACTTCAAAGAAGGGCCATTTGATGGTGCAGAGGGTCTGGAGGTGGGTCAGCTTGACACAGAGTCCAGACATGTTCAAAACCACTCATTTGTAGTCCTGAAAATGAGTAAGAACTAGATCAAGGGGAACTGATGATGATGAGACTTTCTGGCCTATGGTGGGATAAGCTTCAAGAAAAAAAGAATATAAGGAGAGGAATGAGAATGAGAAGAAGTAGGATAGCCGGAGACAAGGCAGAGCTCTGAGCATAGGGTGAGGACAGTATGAGATGGCGGCTCTCTAGAAGGAGAAATGAAAATCTCACAGAACACAGAGTCAGCCGAGAAGGCTGCCCCTGTCCCTTTCCCAAAAAGATTTGGCCAGCCTGGATTCCACATCAGACTCGACCAGAATCTTGCATCTGGCCCTCCCGGATTCCACATCAGGCTGGGCCAAGACTCTGGGTCGGTCCTGCCTAGATTCCACATCAGGCTGGAGCACGACTCCTTATCAGAGGAGGAGTCGGGGCGTCCTCCATTCTCCTCCAGCTCTGGGATCAATAGCGTGTCTGCCTGATCTCTGTTGAGCCCCAGGATGTCCAGACTACCGAAAACCGAAAAGCAAGAGAGAGAGAAAGGAGAGAGAGAGAGAGAGAGAGAGAGAGAGAGAAAGGCAGGCAGAATTTACCAAGGCCAGCTCCGGTGGCGCTTCCATGGGTCTGCGGGGGGGCGGGGGGTGTCTCTATTCTCGAATCCCAGACAAGCCCCCATAATGTTAGGGTTCAAGAATTGAGAATAATTCCCACAGATACCAAAAAAGATTATACAAAAAGTTTATTTCAAAATTTAAAGTAAAAAAAAGACAACAACCAAATGGCACAGACTACACAAGCCAAAGATGGAGTCTGGCCCCAAACAATAGCAGGCAGGGGCTTTTATTGGGGAACTCCACAGAAACCCATGCATGCCAAGCATCTTTTTAAAATAATTGGACGTCCCCATATCCTGTGTATGGGGAAGTCTTGATTGGTAGGGGCTGTCTTCAGGGCATTGGAATGTGCTGACTGATATCTTTTAGAGCCAGACGTTTTTGTTTATACCTTATAAGGCTTTTACATGTACAATATGCCTAAGCTTGTCTGGGCTTGTCTAAAAAAGCTAGCCAAAATGGAGTCAGAGCATTCTGGCTCTTCAGCTCCAGTTCCTGGGAATCTGATACTGTCTTCTGGCTTCCATGGGCATCAGGAATGCATGTGGTACACATACATACATGCAGGGAAACACACCTATAAAATAAAAATTAAAAAAATAAGATGACTGAAAGAACAGAAAGAATATTACATAATCACTATTTCTAAGATTTGTTCAGTATAAACATCCAAAGTTAATAATTAGATTTAAAATGTTTTTAAATAAGCTTAATAATTAGTGTTCATTAACCACTTAAGTACTACATTTCTGACTCTAACTGGTCTGTATGTTTTACAGTTATATTGATAAAACTTAAATTCTGAGCATAAGCCAGATATGGTGGCACATGCCTTAAGTCCCAGCAATTAGGAGACAAAGGCAGGCAGATCTCTGTGAGTTTGAAGCCAGCCTGGTCTACATAGTGAGTTCCAGGCCATCTGGGGCTACAGAGAGACCCCGTCTCAAAAAGACAAAAAAAAAATCTGAGCATAACAAAAGTACCATTACTGAAAACCATCATTTTCTGAGAGCTGCCATATGACCCAGCTGTGCCACTGTTGGGCACACACCAAAGGACACTATATCCTATTCCAGATACTTGCTGCTCTATACACACTAGCTAGGAAATGAAACCAGTCTAGATGTCTACCAAATGATAAATGGATGATAAAAATGTGATCACAAAAAAAATGAAATTATTAAATTTATAGGGAAACAAATGGCACTGGAAAATATACTAAGTGAGGTAGCCAAGGCCAAGAAAAACAAATGCTGCATGTTCTCTCACATATGCAGATCCTAGCTTCAAATTTGTTAGAATTGCATGTTTGAGTGTCTGTAAAGGTAAGGAAAGACAGAAAGAGCCCGATAGGAAAAGGAAAGGCCCTAAGAGTCAAAGCGGATAGTAGAATACATATGATATGAAAGCAAAGAGGGCTACTGGGGCTAAAAGCTTAAGAGGAAATGAAGTTGGGGATTAAGGAGAGGAGGGGATGGTGATGAGTTAACCAAAGCTAATGATGTATGAAAAAGCCTTTTGGAAACACACTATTTCCTAACTTTAAAAAAAAAATATTTTATTATATTTCTCTTGCTTTTATGTGCACTTACATAATAAATAAAATATTTTATGTGTATGAGTGTATTGCCCACATGTATCTAAGTGCACCAATGCCTGCAGCAGTCAGAAGAAGGTGTTGGATCCCCTTGAACTGGAGTTATGGATAGTTGTTAGCTGCCATGTAGGTGCTGGGAACTGAACCCAGGTCCTCTGTAAGAGCTGCCAGGGCTCTTAACCACTGCATCCTCTCCAGCCCTTAAACTAATTTTCAAACAGCTAGGTTGAACTGGGCATGGCAGCACAGGCCTTTAATCCCAGCAGAGACAAGTGGGTCTCTATGAAAGGGAGGCCAGCTTGGTCTATATAGTGAGTTCCAGGCCAGCTGGGACTACAGGGAGATCCTGCCTCATAAAACTAAAAAACATGAAGTGGGGAGGGCGGGGTTGAACAAAGGTGCCCTACAAGGGTGAACAATACTTCCCCAAGAAGACATGGGCTATTAAATGAAAATCTCAAGGCCAGGCATGGGATACTTCCTACTAGTTATTGGTCAGGGAGGCCCAGAAGTCCTCAAAACAACATGGGCTATTGCTATCATTCCTGGTTACCCACGATGAATACATGGCAAGACCCTATCACTGAAGACATAATACACTTTGTTCAGGAACTAGAAATATCAAGCTGGAATTGACTTGGAAACTCTTTCCTTGCTGGCTAGCTTTCATAGTGCTGGAAGGGGCAATGTAGATTACTGGCCAGAAAAGTCTTCAATGGACTTCCCTACTGATGGACTCTTGTTACAGTATTTACCTCTCATGCCCACAGGTGTAACAGTGGCATGAAGGTTATGGGGACAACTAACTGCTTTCTGATTAGATTTGAAGCCTGCCCCACAGCAAGGAATTTATGCCTGGTACTGTAAATATAGTCAAAAGCCTATGCCTGGGGAGGTCATAGGCCCTGTTGGGAACCTACTACTGTTGTTTCATTAAACAAACATGTAGTCAAGCTGTCTCCTAAATACTTATGTTTCTACACATAGATTAGTGCTGTTCTCAGCCTTGGTCAAAGAAGCCCCTTTCTGCTGTGGGCAGCAGTCAGTGCAAACCCATAGCTGGATCCAAGTACTGAGAACACATGACTGTTAGTGCGTAGCCCTAAACGGACATCTATATCAATTTTCTCAAGGCTCAAAAGGATAGAATTTAAAAGCAAGATGGGGAGGAATGGTGTGAAATGCTGTTTTCTGGACATTGCATGGTCATTGCACTCATGAACTCACAGCAGCTGTGGTTACCTGCACAAGATCACACCAATCAACATTACAGAATGGGTGGGGGAAAGGTCTCATGAGGCTTCTACACTGGCAAGGAGATAGCTATTGGCAATCAATGGCTTCTGGGGGAGAGGAAGTCATTTTTCTTTGGAGATGTGGCCTGGTATGTTGCCTATGCTCATGCAGACAGCATTAACTGGACTCTGTCGGGAAGGAAGAGGAGGGGAAAGAGGAGGGGAAGCGGGGGGAGGAGGAGGGGGGAAGAAGGGGACGAGGTGGTGGGGGAGGAGACATGAGGCAGGAACATGTTGGGTAAGTCAAGAGGGAGCAGGGTGAGGAATTGGGAAGTGTATGTAATCAAGATATATTGTATAAATATATGAAATTGTCAGAACAAATAAAGAATATTTTAAGTAAAAAAAGAAAATGATTATTTTCTGAAAGTTAATAGCTTCATGTCTGATGTGAGTCTAACTCTTCCTTTACAATGGCTTCTTCTAGTCCTAGGAATATGCTTAAGACTTAATTTTAAAATTAAAAATGCAAAGTAAAATTTCACTGAGCCTGGTTTCTGATTTAAGATCTCCTCAATATCCTTTCAGAGTCAAAGCAGGGACACTTTTTGTGGTGGTGTTACAGTGGCTCATACACAATAGGCACACAAATATTTACTCAATAAAGAACTATCTTAAACTAATTACCTCTTTTCTGGCTTTACTTCCTCCCTACCCACTGTGTAAAGTCACACACTCTAATCTCTCTCATTTACTGAAATTACTTTCTCAGGGGTCTCCAGAAAGGTAGCTGGGGTGGCTGCAGTGCAGACTTCCTGGTTCGTTTATTGATCTCACCAATCCCTTACTCTTGAACCTTACAAAAAGTTTGGAAATGTTGTTACAGCTCACTCCTTTTGTAGACTGAGAATTGTTGTGTGAATTACTTAACGTATGTGAGCACCTAGTACAGTGTGTAGGAAGTAATGAGCAATCAAGCACAGGGTGGTGTCATTATTATCATTTCACTTCAGTTCCAACACTGCTGAAAATATTAAGGACATTAATAGTCTATATTAGGAGTAGATGAGTATAGATCTTTAATTATAAATTTCTAGTTAAAGCATTATGAAATCTAAATGAAGAAAACTGACCTTTAGAATTCTAAATCAACCAGATGTTAAAATACTTTGGTCTTTCATAGCTTTCCCTGAGATAAACTCAGGAAATTCTTTTTTGTGCAAGAAAATACTTTGCAGAAAATGGAAAAAGAAAACCATCAGCCAAGATGAAAATGCGAGCACAAAAGCTTGTCCACACAGGCTGCCACATGACTTTGCAAGTCTGCAACAGCTGTTATTAAATAAGCAGGAGCCATTGGTAAGGAACTTTTAGTTCCTTAAAAATAATAATAAACAAACTAGCTTAGGAGTGTGTTTTTGTAATGAATAGCTGTGTTTGAGTCAACATAAACAGCTGAGCTCCAGCTGGAGCTGGGATTACAAGCAGTTGAGAGCCACCTGATACAGATGCTAGGAAGAACTTTGGTCCTCTGCAAGAGTAGTATGTGTGCTTAACCACTGAGCCATTTCTCCAGCTCTGTTTTGAAGTTTTATTCACCACTAAATCCCCAGTACCTCAAGAGTAGTTGGCATATTACATATACATATACATATACATATATATATACTTAATGAATGAGCTATTATATTGTTTTGAAATTTGAAAGAATTAAGCATCATATTTTATTAAGATGTCTTTTATGACAAAATATTGGTATTTGGTTTTATTCTTTGTATGTGTACGTGCATATATGTGTGAATGGATGCATATGCACGTGTGGAAACCAGAGACTGACATCAGATGTCTTTTTCTATTGTTTGCCACCTTAGTTTTTGAGACAAGGGTTTCTGAACCTGGAGCTCCCCAGTTCAGGTAGACCAGCTGGTCAGCAAGGTCCAGAGATGCACCTGTCTCCACTTTTCCAGGTCTAGGATTACAGGCACACCTGGCTTTTTATGTGGATGTTGGAGATCTAAATACAGGTCCTCATATTTACAGAGAAAGCATCTTACTGTTTGAGCCATCTTTCCAGCCTGTTTTATTCTTTATTGCTTGAATCATTTGTCTTTCCTGTCAAAAGATAAAGTTCATAAAATTCTCAAATTATCTATTATCCAAGTACTTAATCTTTAATCTTAAAGTCTTCTTCCACCCCACCCTTTTTTTAAAAGAATCTAGAATTGTGCCATACAAACAGAATATGGAAAACCCAATTAACATTTTGAAGAAAAAGAGAATTAAAAGTCAATAAATCCATGATTTTTTTCTTAAGGCTAATACGTTCTGTTCATCACCCTGTTCCTCACACAACAGAGGATGATGAACACAAAAGTCTGCAAGTAACCAAAGAATAGAGAATAAGAGTCTGCAGAGTGTGGGTCCCTGGACAGGAATCCTATGTTGAACTATACCCACCCAGGGCTCAGAGACCATTTCAGAAGAGGGGGCAGAAAGATTGTGAGAGTAAAGGGAGGAGGTGCAGGACTACATGGAAATAGTCCTACAGGTTCCTGGGGCCTTCCTCATATGAACCTACAGCAATGGTGTAAGCAAGCTCTTGTTCAAACCCAAGCAAAAACCCAGCACAGAATGTGGAAATGGACAGCAGACCCCAATCTTTGCAGAATTATTTGCAGCTGATCACTCCTGGGTGAGGAAGAGCAGCCTGATCTTCTTAAAGGGAGGGACTCTAGATAGGCTGACTAGAGCCCAGTGGATGAACTTGTACTGAGGGACATGTGGATACACTAACTTGACTGGATAAGCCTTAACATACATGACAGAATGCCTGAAATTAAGTAAGGGGAGCTACAGGGGGGTACAGATGGGGGAGGGTATAAAGATGACTAAGATGTTTTGCATGAATTGCAAAAAATCTGATTAAAAAACACATTAAAAGTAAAAATAAATAAAAGGTTAATACCTGCTGAGTGTGGTGGCACCAGCCTTTATTCCCAGCACTCAGGAGGCAGAGACAGGCGGATCTCTGTGAGTTCAGGGCAGCCTGGTCTACATAGTGAGTTCCTGGACAGCTGGGCTACAGAGAGACCCTATCTTGAAAAGACCAAAAAAAAAAAGGTTAATACCTAAAACTCAACTAAAGTTGAATCTTTCTTTTTTTTTTTTACCTTTGTGAAGCAGCACTTAAATGAATAATTATGTAAGTCAGCATTTGTAGACAATTGAGAAAATTAAGCTTTTTTTTTTCCTTTTTCTGACAGCGTTTCAGGTAGCATAGGCTGGCCTCATGCTATGTAGCACAGAATGATGTTGAACTATGACCTTCCTGCCTCCTAAATGCTAGAATTTCAGGGATGACACGATACTCAGATGAAATCATGCTTTTTAATGTTAACTAATATGTCGTGCAAAAATCTAGGCTAGGAATTCATGCTTACTAAATAAACAGTAAGAGCTAAACATTCAGGAAGGCTAAAATGCAAACACTCAAACAGGAATCGCAATGTTCTCGTTTTTCTTTGCCTTCGAGGTGCCCTACTTTGCCAAGGCTCCAATCAGCCCTGGATAGACCAAGTGCTAGGATAGCCCTGGGAACAGAATCAAGGCCAATGCCTATGGCTAGGGCACTGACAAGCTGCCAGCACAGCCCACCGTCCCCGGGCGCAGTCAGGATTGTTTTGTTCTGTCCTCTTGGCATGATCTGGAACATGACTTGGGGGCGTTTTGTTTAAAATCAGAACTGGACTCGGGGCACTTCAAGGACATCAGGACGCAAAATGCGTTCCCTATGGAATCATTACATCCAGTTTGCAAAGTCTGTGGTAGTTTCAGCTGGAAAAGTTTATTAATCGAACTCTAAAAATCAACGAATGGATTCACAGGGGCAGGGCGATACCTGAATGGGGGGGCTCACACAGGCGTGCACACACACCTACTAAAATCCAGTTCTCTCCCCTCCCTCCCTCCCCAAATCCAGACGGCGCTCCCTGCAGAGCCTCCGGTTCACCCGGCCGGTGTAGGCCGCTCTCCCTCGCGCTCCTTCCCAGGCTCAGGCAGCGACGCTCGGCCGCTGAGGAGCCTCGGAGCACAGCCGGAAGTAGGGCTGTGCGGGGAGAACCCTGCAGCACCGAGGCCGGATGCGGGCGGGAAGGGCATGTCCACGTCGCGGGGCTCTTTCGAGAGAGGCCGGCCCTGGAAGGCTCAGACGGCGAGCCTCACTCCGGGGCTCCGCACGCCGCCCATGGAGCCCCGAACAGTCCTTCCGCCCGGGTAGCTGCCGCCCTCCGCGGAGTTTCCATGCGCTCCTTCTTCCCTCAGGATCCTCGGAATCACAGGGAGGCTGGGATCTAGCTGGGCCTCCACCGCGGCCTGTGCGGGCTGCCGTGCGCCCGACCCAGCGCGCCCCAGTCTGCCTCAGCCTGCCTCAGTTTACCTTAGTTTTCCTCAACTTGCTTCGTGCGAACCAGACACTGGCGCCCCCTATCGGCTGCTTCCGCCCGCAGCCCCGCCCCGCGCCCCCTATTGGCTGTATCCGCCAGCAGCCCCGCCCCGCGACCTCTAGGCTGCTGCAGCCCCGCAGCCCCACCCCGCGTTCCGCCTGGTTTCCGTCGCGAAGGACGCGGCGTCCGTTGGTTGTCAAGATGGCTGCGGCGGGGTCGCAGCCGCCACCTCCGCTAGCACGGGCCGAGATCGCCGCCGTCACCAGTCTAGTCTCGGGTGCCGCTGCCAGGCTGGGATTGCCGCGGCCGACCCTCGGACGCCCGTGACGCGGGCCTGAGAGACGCGGTGCGGAGAGGCGGAGAGGCCCGGCAGCCCGAGCGGCATGAGCGCGGCGCGGAGGTGAAGGATGCTGGCCGGCAGGCCGGGAGCGAGCGGCGCCGCGGGCCTGGGCGCCGCAGCCTCCGACCCCATCGGGCCGCGGGACGGCGGCGGGAGGCCGCGACCTGCCACGTACCTGTATCCTCCGCCGGTGGCCGGGTGGGGTGAGCGTGGGCCCCCGTTCCCGGTCCTCCCGGGACCGCGAGTGCGCGCTGCACGGAGAGGCTTTCCCGTGTTGTGACCTCCGACCCCCGCGCGCATCTCCCCGCCGCGGCTTCCTCGCGGCAGGCGCCGTTTCCAATGCATGGATGGCGCTTGGGCGAAGGCTTCTTGCCCCTAGAAACGGCCGTCGTGCCCTTTGCGTCCTCAGTGACCGCCTGGAACCGCGCGAAGGGCCACCCTAGTCATCCCCTAGTACTTAGCCGGGCGCCGCGCCATCACTGCTCACTGTGCTTCCCCTCCCCTTTCGGAATTACCCTCGGACCCGACAGCTGCCCCTCCCCATCGTCTTAGACTGCAGCTTGGAGGGGCCTGGGCAGACCTTGCTCTGCCTTCTAAGAGGCAGATCCGCGGTGGAACACATGTGTTCCGGGGTCACGGGTGCCGAAACCCCTGCTCCGAGACCCGTGGAAGCCTCTTAGGAACTGGACTCTTCACCCTTGTCCTCGCGTCTCTTCGTGCACTGAGCTCCTTCTCTAAATCAGAATTCAGGGCAATGGCTCAGTGACAAAGCATATTATCTCCTCTGTTATTTTCGTTAATGAAATAATCAGTTTCTTCATATATATGACGGTATTGAACCAGTCACCAAAAGATGTAACTAGAATACACGAACCTGACGTAAATATAACCAAAAAATACTTTCTTTAGAAAGTATTTACGTTTTCCATAAACACATTGCTGAAAATACACTGAAAGAGGATACACTAATTTGCAAGTTGTAAGTGATCATTTTGGATGATCAAGAGACTTAGATAAAAATCCAACAACTTTTTTCTGGCTTATTATGTTTTTGCTTATATTTGAATTGGGACAGAGAGTTTGAACGTAAAAGCTGTAAAACTAGATCAAAAAAAATATTTTCTACTTGGATAAACACTAAAGTACCTTTTATTTAAATATTAATTTGGATGTTCTTAGTGTCTGTAATGTCTCCTGTTGGATTCTTTGGAGGCAAGGTCTCCCTGAAGCTCCAGCTAGCCTGGAACTCACAGAGATCCACCTGCCTGTCTCCTGGGTGCTGGGATTAAAAAGCACATCCAGAGCCTACTTGATTTTTAATGTACTGTGGTTACTTAAATATAATAAATGAATAAATGAGAAAACATGAAAAACATCATAGTTTTAAAATAAGCAAGTTTCTTGGTTTTCCAACTATGAATGTCATGCTCAAAAGCCTTCCATCTTTCTACTGAAAATATTTTCTGATTAGAATTCAAATTTTCTGACACTAAAGGCTATAAAAGAACAAAAACATAAAGTTCATCTGATTAAGGTTCTGCTATTTTGGTGTCATAAAACTCTAAAGAACAGGTAAATTGTCAATGAATAAATAAAATTATTTAAAATGAAATAAATTATTTTAAAACCCCAGGTAGAAATCAAATAGTTTATTAAGGAAAAGAGAAGATATTCCCTGTTCTATTATGCCTTTCTTTCTCACAAATATCTTGTTTTGACACATTTTATCCTACACTCACTTTGCCTCTCATCCTTCCCCAGTGTATACCCTATCCTTGATTTACATATATTCTTTCACCTGAATCTTGGTTGTTCATACGCCTAACTGCTTCAGTGACCCAGAGTAAAAATATCTTCTGAAAAAAGCCTATAAGTACAGACATAGCACTGAAGATGGACAGTTTCAAGTTTCACCTAAATAGAACTGAGTTCTCTCTTGTTCCTCATGATGTCTCAGTCAGTCTCTAGCCCCTCAGCACTCTTGAGTATCTTACCACTTCATAAAATATAGATGGGAGAACTCCCTCAGCTCCCTCACAACAAACAGTACATACCCAGGCAGTGAATACATTCACATGTGCCCTTCATTTCAGTCCCCTTTCATTTCCTTGATGGTCCTAGATAATGTTATATCTCTTAAAATTAACTTTTCAATTTCTGTAGTGGCCCTTTTTTCCCTACAGCCTATAAACATTTAATTCTTGACAGTGTTTAAAATTAGATAAACTAACACATTGATCACAAGACTTTCTTAGTTATGCTCTAATATTGCCTTTTACTCATAGCTCCAAAACTAAGCAGTCTTTATTATCTATACCAAGTCACATTTTCCTGTATAAACTTGAGCTGCTACAAGGGGAAAAAGTAAATATATAATTGTAAAAGAAAATTGACTTAAGAAATAGTCATGTTTCTCTTAACAGTATAGTAACCTTACCTTTTGAAGACAATTTCAAAGGAAAATATTTTAAAGAAAACATTAATTTAAAACTTTAAGGAAAAGTGTATAACTAAATCAAACTCAAAATATATAGGGAAAATGCTAGCACTGTGATAAAATATTATTACCTACAATATTCTGCTCTTATTGAACTTGCTAAAAACTGCCTTTTTAAAATGCAAGTTCTTAGTTAATAAATAGCCATTCAGTTTGAACTAACTTTTTCCAGAAAAAAAGACTGACTTAATAATCAACATAAGAAAATACTCTGTCTTGATAATGCACACATAATAAAGCATAGTTTTGAACCTTGTATTTTTAAATAAACATGAAAGCCCTATCGTGCTTATGAGGCTTTGAAACATCTAAGTTATATAGATTTTTATAACCCCTTGAGAAGCCATTTTTACCTAAGTCATTAAAATCTATAAAAATGAAAGCAGTGCTAAATCACCCTAGCACCTGGAAACCTGAGACAGTAGTGTCATGAGTCCAGGGAAACCTAGGTTCCATAGTGAATTCAGAGACAGCCAGGGCTACAGCATGAGACCCTGTCTCAAACAAAAAAACAAAGCTTGAAAATTAATATGCCTTTTTGTCCTGTTATATCTACATCAGACAATTTCTCTAAGGAAATCTTTTAGCAAAACCATTATTTATTAAACCATTATTATATTCTAGGAACTGTGCCAGGCATTGGAATTATGGAAAAATAGAGGAGACGCAATTTGCCTACTCTCGATGGTGTCAAGTTATTTTGTGGAGCTTAGACAAGTCATGGTAGGGAAGGAATTCAAGTGACTTTGAAAGGAGGTGTAGAATCAACCAAGCGTGTCCCAAGAGATAATGGTATGAGGCATCACAGCCCATTCTGCTAATTTTCTTGTTGTGGATGAACATCAGATTCATATATAAAATGTTAGCAGATGAAATTTAAAAACAGACTAGATTACACAGTGCTTTATATACAAGTCCAAGAGTGAGATTTATCTGAAGGTGATAGCTTTTAGAAAACAAGAGTGAGAAAATCACGTTTTCATTTAGCTGGCTTTGTGTAAGTTCAAATGGTGAGTAGTCAGTTTAGAAGTAGGGAGCTGAGTTAGAAGAGTCCTGAGGAAGTCCAAGCAAGAGATTAAGAGTGCCTAAAATTAGACAGTGGAGAGAGGACACAGAGAAAAAGAATAGAGATAGCATTAATGGATCTGCAAGGAAACAGGTTGTGTGATATGTAGTAACTCGTGATGGTAACATACTTTAACCTAATTGGGGGAAAGCTAAATGGGAAAATGAATGCCCAAAGTATTCTTTTGTTTTAATATTAAGCATCTAAAAATTACCTTCTTTGTAGTAAATGCTCAGGGGTGATTCTTAGGATGATCCTTACCTTTGTGGTACATCTTTTAAAAAACTTTAAGCATCCATCTAATTTTAAACTTGAATATCATATTTGAAAAGATACATTCTTCATGGCACAGCAGGGAAATTACATTGTGCTAGTCTATATCCTATATGTACTCTAACACATGAACTGCATTTATATATAGTAGAATTATTTGGCTAAATTTAAGAATACCTGGTTATCAGAACATTACATTTGTAATTTTCTGTGTTCTTGACGTAAGATCTTAAACATGTTGAACAAAACTCTCTCCACTTGCAGCTTCATCCCCCATCTCATCTGACCCAAGGCAAATTCTATCTGCCCCTCCCACCATGCTTCTCTGTGTACCTTGAAAGAAAACTTTGATAAACAGATGACTGTATGGCTGTCCAAATGTTTTTATCATCTGAAAGCAAATCATTCAGCAAATATCAGTACTTTGGAGAGAAAAAAATAAATTGTATTCCCAAACATTACAATTATTTGGTTTTAATATTTGCATATGAATTTCATACTGTGGCCTAAAGACTCTGTTGAGGCATTTAACTCATCTACTTCCTATTACTGAAATCTTCAATTTCCTTACATACATGCCTAATAATGTCCCTTATTAGTAAGTATTCACATATCTATGTAATAAATGAAGATACACATTCTTGTTATCTAAGCTCATGATTTTTTTTGAAATATTTTTGAGAATTTCATAAAATGTATTTGAATCATAATAACCCCAAGCCCTCCCAAGTCTACCTCTACCTTCCTACCCCCTTAATTTCATGTCCTTTTTTTTTTTTTTTAAAGAAACCCATTGACTCCAATTTATACTGCCCAAATACTCCTGGGTTTGGGGCCATCCACTGGAGAATGTTCACCCTACCAGGAGCCACATCTTTAAAGAAAACTGACTCTTCATCCCCAGGAAACCATCGACTGTCGTAACTCCTCGGCTAGGGATGGGAGCTCATGAACCCCTTCCCCTTCCATGTTGATTGGCTTGATCTTGTGAAGGTCTCATGCAGACCAGAGCTTCAGTGATTTCTTGAGTGCAGCCGTTCTGTCATATCCAGGAGACATTCTTTTGTTCCCATACTCCTCAACATCTGACTCCTATAAGCTTTCTACCCCATCATCCATGATAGTCCCTGAGCCTTGGTCTGGGGGTGGGGCTGTTTTATATAGATGTCCCATTTGTAACTGTAAGTTGATGATTTTTTAAAAATTTATTTTCCCCCCAAAAAAGTGAAAGATACTTTAAATCCTAATACCAAGTCTGAATTTTTTTATATAAAACGTTTTCTGGTTGTATAGTAACACTAATATGTACACATACTAATTCTAATTATCCCACATGGCATTATAATGTCATTGCCACAAAACTCCTATTATATGTCTTGATACCCACTAAAAATGTACACTGTTCTTCTTAACTCAGTGGTATCACTAGAGATATGAAAACCCACCTAGA